CAAGCCACGTAACATCCACGCCGTTGGGTGTGTTATATAATCATTTGTCTTGAGTCAGAGTGCCAAGGGCAAGATTCTCTGCCAGGAATCCCTAAGCAGCTGCTCCTTCAGTCCCCCTGCATCCCTCATGGAGGAGAGGGATAGGAGATTGTGTTGCCTTGTGATCAGAGGTTCATCAAGCACCACCATGTAACCAAGAAATACAAAAGACATAGAAAAAGACAAGAAGAATCGCTGAAGAATGTTTTTTTCCAAGACAAGGCTCAGCCATATCCATAGAAATCTTGTGCAAGGACATACCAAAGAAGATTGCTGTGGAGCTAAGTCCAAACAAGTATCACATTCCAGTGTTCAGCAAGTGCCCATGTGGGCATAATCACCACCACTCAGTGCTGTCCAATTTTAGTGACAGAGCTCAATTCCAATACATTCTACACTCAGTACAGAGGGGGAAAAGGAACCTCAACAATATTTAAAATAAGAATACAATAGGTCACTGAAGCAGAGCAACCTAGCTTCCCTACAAGACAGCACTTAAGTCCTTTGGGCTCTTCTTTGAAAGGCCCTTACTTAGGACAAAAATCACAGCAGCAGGAAGCTGAAAGCTACACATGAATGCTGATCAGTTCCTAAGGCCAGCTGTACCTGGCTCTCCCTTCTCTTGTACATACAAACTGCCTCCCCAACCCAAATAGGTGCTGGAGGCAGGGCCACAGTTCATGAATCCTTTCCAGCCCTGATGTTCCTTAAATGCCTTATTTAGCTGCTCCTGCAGAGAAAGGGAAAAATAGCTATTTGGTGTGTCTTTGACAAAAAGAGATTTTAATAGGATTCAGAAAGGTTTAATCATATTCCCCAGGCAGGATTGGGCTGGATTTTATGGAGAAGTCAGATCCCAAGGGTGTGTAATTCCTGCCTCACAGAAAGCAGTTGTCTCAGGCTTCCAGCAAAGCATTACATTGCAATTTGCAGAGGGTGAATTTTATGGGGTTTTAGTTAAGTGACCTAGAAAAAGCTGTGAGGCTCCACTTATCTCTGGATACCTAAACAAGGATGTGATGCTCAGCTGCTAGATAAGAGTTTGCTTCAGTGATTCATTGATTTGCAGTGACTTAAACAGAGCTGTTTGTTTTGTGAGTCAACATTTCACAATATTTGGGTGCAGGACCTGACTCCCAACCACCCTGACGAAGTTGTTTATGGATAGGAAGAGATTCTTACAAGACTGGAATTGACTTGATACACTAATTTTAAAATGGTATCTTTCTGTGACCTTCTAACTGCAATAATCCTAATTGCACTTAGCCAGCTGAGAGGATGATGTCACAATGCTGACAAATGGGCAAAGGATGGGATGGTTTGACTGCACTACTGTGATCTTGGTAAATTAATTTCATGGCCTTGTGCCTTGTATTCCTGCTTGTTAAATTGGAGGAAATTAAAACCTCATTGCTTCCCCAATGTGCTTATGCTGCCTCTTCAGATGATAACTTTTCAAGACATGACAATGCAAAGCAAGGCACAACCCATGAAGAATACTAAAGCAATAATCAATACCATGCATTTTTTTACATCAGTTTGCAAAAGTGATTTGTTGGTTGTAAATTGCTGTGGGCTCATGACAAGAATTGCAGAGAACTCTGGTTTTCAGAAATAAGAGGAAAACTGCTTTTATAGGAAGAACTTACAGATGGTCAGTAAGCAAAATAATCTTACTGCCCACAGAAATAAAGCGATTAAATAAAATTCTAAAGTGCTTCATTTACAGTAATGGGAAAAGAAATCAAAGTGAGAGTTATTAATCTGAGACATGTAGGATTAAAATAAATTTGGGAAGATAAAAGGAAGAAACACAGAGATAGTTACAGTTCAGTTAAAACAGCAGAGCTCGTTTTACCCATCACATGCCCTGAGCAAAGTTCAGCAATAAACCAGGGGCTTGGTTTGAGAAAGAAGGACATTTTCCTTTTCTAATTCAGGTGTGTTCATAAAAAAGGAATTATGTTTGCCCTGGGAATTACTTATTTCTGGTGTGCTAACTCAATTCTTTTAGGTTGCCAGTTGAAGTGCTGTGGATCACATGGGAAGACTCATTACTTGTCTAGTGAAAAGGATGTGAAAAGATCCATAACTGATTGATGTCAGCTTCCTCCCAATTTCCACTCCAGCAACACTTTAAACTAGGTCAGAGCATTAATTTATTTTTGTATGAAATCTCTCCTCAGCCCATCCAGACTCCCATTGGCTAGTTAATTAAAATCAGCACCATTATTTGGCTGCTACTTTGCAGCAAGAAGAAGAAAAAGCTAGTAATTATCCACTTGGGGAATAAATTAATTAGGTTACTATGTGTTAATGCTCAGCAGCTCTCTTGTAGCTAGAAGCCAGAGTCCTTTCTGTCCTGCCTGGGTTTCTGGAAGGTAACTGGGTCACAGGAACATGTGCCTTGGCTTCAGCCTTTGCTGTACTTCCTCTTGACAAATCTTTGTTGAAGATAATCTCCTTAAAATAGAGGCTGTTTCTTCTTGCCTTCTTGTCAGAAACCGACTCCCTGAGCACCTTACAAGGACCTTGGAAAAGTTTGACTTCATGCTGGCAATGAGCTGGGCTTTCCATTCTGGAGCAGCCTCCAGAAAGCCAGGCAGGGCTCCTCATGAGGTTTTGCTGGTCACCCACTGCAGGCTCCTGCACAGCTGTGCTCCAGATGCCTATTGCTCACAGGTATCATCCCATCGAGGTAACACCCATCACACCTTGCCTGTGTGCAGTGGGAAACTTCTGTGCAGCAACATTTAGGCAAGCATCTGATTCCTGTTTTGGGATAGGTCTGTGCCACTCAATGGGCAAAAAAGTGATGATGCTCACTAATTCTTTAAAAGAATATCCAATGTCAATAAAATGTTACTTATATCCTGACTGTTGATTTCTACTATGGAAATGCAATTTCATGCTTTGGATGTATGAGGAAGAGCTGAAGAGATAATTGCCAAGGTAGTAAAATCAGAGAGACCATGGCAAGCAGATAGGTTGAACTAGGGTTAAAAGGAAAGAAATTCTCCCCTAGCTGGCCACCAGAAGAATTTCCCTGCAACAGAAGGAACTTGTCTGTGTTGTACCAGAAAACTCCTGGTGTTTGAAGCCATGCATTTTGTGCTGACAATACAGGTTTTACAATGACAATACAGTTTTTTTGTACAATACAGGTTTTAGTCCTGAAGCCAAGTACCATTTTCTCAGTTATTCACATTACATCAGCAGTATCCATAGAGATATGCCATTGTGCAGCACCTCTGAGACTGAGTACCACAAACCTGCAAGCAAATCCTATAATTCTGTCTTTGCAAAACCATTCCCACTGATAACTGAATCCCTAATGCCAACATTCTTTCTTTCTTTCTCCTCTGTAGGGAATATTGTTGGCAGCTTTTTTCAAGCCAGCCTTCACACCCCATGGTTCCTTTGCTATCTCTATCCAAGATACTGACGTTGTTAGAAGTTCCAAATATGGTGCAGTATTTTGTCTGGGAAAATAATAGAATCATGCCTATTCTTTGCAATCTGAGTATGATTAAAGACAAATGAGGCTCCTTCCAAACCCTCAGCTCTCATGAACTCTTCATCTGTCTTCCAATTTTAAGATTTTGTCAATCTGTATCTACCTCTAGTTTATCTGTAGTTTGTGCAAGATGCAATCACATCATGAGATAAAGAAGACACAATGATTACATACTTAGAAGGAAAAAGCACAGTTGTAAAACACTGATTTATCCTAGAATTTGTTCTCTTAACACAACAGTTGAAAGGTAATGTCTGATGTAAACAATGATAATTACTACCTCTTGCCTTTTGAATTCTGGCAATTGCAGTGAAGAGGCTTTTTACTGCTTGTAAAATAATGCCTAGTAGTTTAGTGCTTATAAAGTAGCTGTGCACACTGAGATATAAAGCAGCCAAACATCATAAAATAGAGGTAAGATCTCAAATCTTCTGAATTTGAAAAGTTACACACTTATATTGGCCCTGTAGGCTTTGCTGACCTGTGATGAGGACTGGTTCCTTTCCTTCCCTCATGCCAGTCTCTACAATGTTCCCAACCCTTGCCCTCCTTTAAAGAGGCATTCAGTGGAGAAGTCACTACATCATTGATGGATTCAGATGCTGGATCAGGACTTTAGCAAATCAAAAAATCACTTATTGAGTTGGGGACAGCTGAGTGGAGTGTAGGGGGCTTATGGACATGCTTTCCAGCTAATAATTTATTCCCATGGATAATCCTCCATCGTGCAAACAGTCCCACTGAACACAGGGATTACAGTTAAGGGCAGCAGGATGAAACCCTGAGGTAAGATGCACAGTAAACAAAGTATGATATTAAAGCTATTAATTAATGTGTACTAATAGGCAGCTAATGAAGTCAGGATGGCCATGAGTCATGAAGCTTCACTGCTTCCTGAGCTTATCAGAAAACTGTTCTCAGTGCAAAGCCAGAGTGCCATTTTTAAATATAGCTACTGTCCATAAGCTGAGGCTGGGACCTATCTGTGACTGGGCAACTAGAGGTGACAATGTCACCCAGGGTGTAAAGTTTCAACAGGAGCTCAGTGCTTTCTGTTCAAGTCACTCTGCCTGCTGTCCTCTCAGCTAGTGATAATTTTGCTTTATGCTTTTAACATGCTTGGTTTCTTTTGCCCAGTACCCTGAGAAAAATCAAGGTTTACTTATCTAGGCAGTGTGTTTATATTTTCCAATACATTCTGAATCCATACACTGGTTTTGGACTATATTAACAAAGGAACAAGGCCATGGGAAAATACGTCATGAGGCTACCCCATGTCATTTGCAAGCCAGATTCCCAGCACCTGAAGCGATGCAGGATCTGCCGTCTATCTTTATTCCTATTTTCATTCTACTGTATTACAATATCTGTTTTATTATGCCACTTGTTCTTGTAGTTTTCTTATTGAAATCTGGAAAATCCATGTACCATCTTGTCCACTTACCGTCCCAGGGTAGGATCTTGGTCATGTAGGACAGAAGGTGCACCGGCAGGACAGGAGAGGCAGAGCTCACGTGCCACTTCTGAAGGAAAGCCCGCTGCACAAAATCAGCCTTTAAAACACACAAGTGGGAAAGAGATGCTGACAAAAACTTTTCTACTCCAGAATCCGCACTATTTCATTTTAAAAACATTTTGTGAAAGGTGCTGCAACTCAGTTGATAAATACAAAACCATCTCTGAGTGGTGAAGGCATTTTGTGCAAGTGCATCAGTTGGAAAAACAAGGTATCTTTGTTTTATCTCTGCAGTAGTTTGAAAAATACTTTCCTTGTTGGAACAAAAAGGATTTTCTGAATACTTATTTTTGTAGAAACATCTGTTGTGTGGGAAGTTATTTGACAAAAAAACATACCTCTTTATTTATATTAGAAAGTTCTAGAAGTCTGAAGCATGATGCAAAACAAAGCAAAGAGAAATAAACAGGAAATGAGTGACCGAGTAGTCACAACCTTTTAAGGTCAATTGCCCTTGCTTTGGATTTAAGTTGAACTCTTTCCCAATGGGGATTTTTTTTTTAATGGAATTTTCTCTCTTCTTTTGTCTTTTTTTTTTTTTTGTGACTCCTTTTCCTTTCCTGCTGTAATTGAATTATTCCCTTTGTTCCTCTAGAGGGTTTGAAAACACAAACTTTATTTCTACTTCACACTGGGTGTGACAATGCCTATGCACAAGTCACAAACTGTGCTTCAGAATATGTCAAACCCTGGTTCATTTACTGTCTTTCCAATCACTTTGATTGGATTCAGCCTGATCCTTGGTATGGTTCAGGATCCTTTGCAGAAGACCCATTGGATAAAGGAATTAGAAAGCTCACCTATGAGTTTGTTGAGGCGAGGCAGTCTCCTATCTCAGAATCATCCTGCTCCATTCAAAATCCTCCCTAATTCCATCCCTGGGATTTTGCAGGTACCTCATACACCCATTCCCTAGAAGAGTCCTCATTCCAGGCAGCATCTAAGAATCTCCACAGATTTTGACTGCATGCACACAGTCCTGAGATCTGCTGAAAAAGAGGTTTCTGCCCTTGGATTCTCAGTATTCATTAGCATGGAAGACCTTATTGCGGCCTTTCAATACTTGAAGGAGGCTTGTAAGAAACATGGAAAGGAGGGAGACCTTTTACCAGGGCCTGTAATAACAGGGCACAGGGTAATGGTTTTCAGCTGAAGGAGGGGAGGTTTAGATTGGACATCAAGAATTAGCGAAGCACTGGAACAAGCTGTCCAGAGAAGTTGTGGAAGCCACATCCCTGGAAGTGTTCAAGGCCAAACTGGATGGAGCTCAGAGAACCCTGATCTAGTGCAAGGTGCCCCTGCCCATGGCAGGATGAGATGGTCTTCTAAGGCCCTTTCCAACACAAACCATGCTATAATTCTGTGTTCTTTAAAGCTTCATTCCAACTCAAACCCTTCTGTGATTCTAGTTCCAGCGAACAAGGGTGAATGTTTAGTCTCCAAAAAAAGTCCTTTGAGTTTCTTGTTATCCTTTTACACAACTTATGTTCTGAGCTCACAGGATACTGGAACTCAGGTTTAATAATGTTAAAAACTGGTTCAGTTCTTGAGGGCTGTAACTATTTCTGGATCAATACTTTGAATGAAAACAGCAGAAATAATTACAGCTGCTTCTTGTTCTAGAAGAGAGCAGGAAAACACCACAGGCATGCCATTAACACTGAGAATTTCTGTGCTCATTTTACTCCTCAATGCTACCCATTCATTTGTACTTTAGAAATGTGGAAGTTTTGTATAGTGCCTAACTGGTCATAGTTCAATACTATCAGAATTTAAAGGCAAATACCATTTCACCTTGAAAGTATGTGGGTGCAGTTTCTGGAGCAGCCTCTCTCTGTAACAGTCTAAGCCCAAGGCAATTGCTAACAAAATTGGTGAGTGCCTCAGATCACCTCCCTGCAAACCAGAGAAGCTTTTTTGGCAGCCCAGAGAACTGCAAGGTGCAACAAAAAGATACTTTCTGCCATCTCAAAACTGTGCCCCCTCTCCTGCCAGTGGCACCCCCAGGGAACTTGTGTTCTGTGCTGCTCTGGGTTCAGGATGACCCATCAGCCTGGAACTGCAGCACTGCTCTTCCACACCAGGAGCCTTCCCCACAGACTCTTTTAATCATTATTTCACCCCACTCCTCAGCAGGGTCAGGTCCCTGGAGGAAGAGCTGCAATACAGCACGGAGGTTTTGCCCTTCTGCAGTGCTTCCAGCAAGAAGCAGTTTCCCTGGATTGTGAGCAGCAGCTGAGCTTTGCAGCTGCAATCTCACTGCAGAGCTGCCAGCAGCACCAGGACAGAGGCTCACACACTTCATTTAATCAGTCATTTATCTGTCTGGGGCCTGGCTGTGCTTTATCTGTGCTGCCCATGCACACAGGCTTGGGACCAGGCCAGTACTCCAGCACACTTGGATGTGTTTTACTCCTGTGGCTGAGAGCAGCTGGGCAGGATTTTCAGTGCTTTTCTGTGGGGCTTTTTTTTCCACATAAAAGAGTGTTCACATCAACCAGCAGCCTGGCTTTGAGTTCTCACTACCTCACACTAGTTACAGCCTAGACTTTGCAGCTCTTATTTTGCTGCCTTTGGTCCTGGTACTCTTTTTTTTTTGTGATACTATCCATTGAGCTCTCCAATAGATTTTGCAGTGTTTCAAGAGTTTATCTATACCTGTCTGCAGTGAACCTGATAAACCAGTTTTTGCTGTCACACAAATGCTATGCATTGTTCAGCTGTACAATGTCTCTTTTATCACTGATCTTGGATTTTCATGGGAGTTGCTCTTAACTTTTAAAGCCTTGACTGAAAGGTAAATGGCAAACTTGTGAACAGCTTCACATGGTGAACTGTCAGACTCAGCAAAGGATGCTGTTATCTTTAAAATTACATAAACCCATATCTATCCTCAGAAGTTTGAAAATGAGAGTTCTTTCTTCTTCCCAGCTAGGAGAATAAGAGTCAGAATTACTCAAAAAGTTTTCTTGGTTTGTATCTTATTAACCTTATTAACATTAAAAAAAAGTTTTTTTGATATTCCCAATGTTGTGGGCAGAACAGGGATGTTTTGTTCACAAGAGTTACTGGCTGAGCACAACAGAGAGAGCTAAGAGGACAGAGTAAGCATAAAGTAAGGGACATGTTCTCACATTTCCCCTCAGAAGTCCACTTTGAGGTGGCTCACTCTCTGTTTTAAACATCAATTGATCAATCTGCTTGAGCTGCTCTTTGTCACAACAAGCAGCTCCCTAAAAGCTAAGGACAGCTCAGCTCCTGCCTGCTGATGTCCCCACTTAAACCAAGACAGCTCCAATATTCATCCAGCCTGAATTTGAATTGTTTCAGCCCACTGACTCAGCACAGAGCTAACCTCATTAAAAAGCAACTAACCAATCAGCAACAAAACAAAACCCGAAGCAAACCCCCCCCACTTTCTGACAGAGAATTGTCCTAGAACAGTGTAAGGTTAGGCAAGGGCCAGAGAGAGTACAAAGGGCAGGTGGGAGTGCAGGAGGAGGTGTAGCAGAGCCAAAATGCTGCAGCCAGATGCTAGGCTGGCTTAAGGCAGGGACAACCTCAGCTTCTGCTCAGGCTGAGCTTTGCTCCCAAGAAAGAAACTCTCTCTGTGGTATGGCTGCATTTCCAGGAACAACAGCACAGGTGTTGCAGTAAGCATGGGAATTGATACTATCTAATAACCATAAAAAGGAAGATGATATTTCAGTCTACTTTTAAAGACTTTCATGTCAATAACTGAAATGTAAACCACATCTCTCTGTCATTAGAACTATGTGTGCTAGATGGAGGAGAAATGCAAGAGATGGAGGACAGGAAAAGCCAACATTTTCTCCTGATTAGATTAGTCCCATTTACTTTCTCCATATTGGCATTTTCAGTAGAGGCACACTTGAAGAAATGTTGAGTTTGGAAGTACAGACACCCAACAGACAAAAAGCAGCAAATTTCAGGTCCTTTTGTTGTTCACACAGGTCACTGAGAACATAATTTTCCTTCTCCCCTGCAAAACACTGGGCACCACCTCACCACAAACCCCACATTGTAGCTACTCCTTACCTGCAGAATTCAAAGGAAGCACTTGCATCACTACTACTGTTGTCTGGCAGAGCATAAAGGTCAGCCTCGCATTTCATTTAAAACACAAACATGACCTTTGGAATGGGATTTTAAATGACAGCAGATTCAAACCTTCCTGCTGTCATAGGAAGCTCTGTCTCTCCTTATCTGAAGGCATTCTTCTGTGTTCTTGAGATTAAAAAAGAAGAAATAAACGCATTCTTTGTGTGTTTTTTCTTCCCTGCTTTTTCTTTTTTTTCTATTTTCATTGTTTCTTACACAGTGAAATGGGTACTGCTGGGGAAACTAGCAGAGTACAACTGCAGAGTTAACAAGGTGGAGCTAGTACCACAAGACGGTTTTGTGCAAGAGCACAAGAGAACAGCTTGTAATTGGCATGTAAACAGAGCTAGGAGTTCACAGAAACCGCATAAACATTAGTATTTACAAATGAATGTAAATATCTAGATTATTAAGTTATGAATATAACCTCAGTTTTATATTTATATGCAAAGAAACATGAGTGTAGAACTTATTCTACTTACATTAAAAGCTAAAAAGTTTCCCATTTGCAATTGACTTTGGCCAGTTTAAATGTGGTGCTGTAACTGTGTGGTCACTTGATTCCTTCAAGTGTTTCACATGCAAACCACCACCACCAAAACCAAGCAAACAAAAAAGCCCCAAAATCAAGCAAAAAAAAAAAAAAAATCACAAAACCAAACTCCCTCAAATTATATATGTTTCCTTTCAGAAATTATAAAGTAGCTCAGATCAAGAAGAATATCATGCTGGAACCCCCAAAACTAAATCACAGCATGTCTCATTTCAAATAAAAATTTAATGCCTGCAATATTCCATTGGCACTTGGGGTTTTCTGGAGTTTTTTTGTTTTTTTTTTTTTTTTAAACTTTTTAATATTGCCAAATTATACAGAATTATTAACAGTGTTTGAAACTGACTGAATTTTTGACAGAGGAAAGTCAAACTCCTCTTTCTGTTATAAATTTGATTTTTTTTTAATAGTTGCCATAAGAGAGTTTCATTTAATATTTATGATACTTTGTACTTGTTACTTTGCTACTTTATAGTTAATGATGCTCTCACAGCTCACTTTGCAAAGCTCTAGAGAATATGACGAAAGTAATAATTCTCACTGAAGAATGTCTCAACTTTCCCTTCCACATAAAAATTGGGACTGGGAGGATGAGAGGGAGAGTAGAGAAGAATCAAAATTGGGGGGAAAACCCCTAAAAACCCCATAAATCAATGTCCCAGTCATAATGGTTTTGGCCATGAGCCCTTCCAGACAAAGGGCATCCACGGCTTCCCCCAGCAGTAAACATTACAGAAAAAATGCTGTTGCACAAATGGCAATTTTTCTAGTATTAATTTCTTCTCATTCTCCATGAGACTGAGAGGCTTTCGCCATGCTGACAGCATGGTTCTTTCTTGCTATTTTTTCATATCCCTTAGCATCACTTTTCTTTAGTGCTCATAAACTGTCCAGATTTCCCATTAGGTGGTGATACAGCAATATTCTCAGTGCCAGAGAAAAGGTCAGAAGTGTATTTTCAACTATAAGTGATCCTACAAAAGATCAAAGAACATTAATTTGACACTGCATGCCTAATGCTGTGCCTTCATTTGCACAGTTTTACTAGCTATTTTTATTCACAATTACCCATCAGACCCAGAACAACTGCAGAAAAATCAAGTGCAGTAAAATGAGGAGTGAAATTCATCTGTAAATGCAGCTTTCATCAGCTGTGAGCACTGGTGTCAGTAAAACCAGATCACTGGAACTCAATGCAGGCTATGGAAAAGAAAGTACAGCTGTAATTTGGTGCTCACAATCTTTATAGCTACTTGTAGTATTAATGAAGCTTGATTATAGGTTGAAACTTTAATTCCGGCAGCTGAAGAAGACTCCATTGGCTACAGAAACAGACATAAAGCCTGAAGGCGTTTCCCAGTGCCTTTTTAGTATAGGTTTGCTAGTGCATTGTAAACATCAGCCTCAAGCACTTATTTCCTGCACTTGGGCAAGTATTTGTCTCATTATTTATGAAAATCATTTCAGTCCCATCTCAGCCAGTGCAGCCTCAAGGCTGCTTTGGTTTTCCATTTACAGCACACAACACCTCCAAGCAACCTCATTCCACATCGTCAGGGCAGGGAACAAGACACAGTGAGAGGGATTCCCCACGAACCTTCAGCATCTTCCTTTGGCTCTTGCACTCCTGCTCAGGGGCTTCATCACTATGGTGCCACTGCCAGAACAAAGACAGAATATTTTACCCTCTGGTTAAGTATTAGCAATTCTTATTCACCTTGTTAAATTTTTGTTCAATAAGAAAACATGTTTTCCTTCAGGTGCACACATGGTTAAAATAGAGTTTGTGCTTGCCCACTGGAAACAGATCTCATAACCTTGTGTTTCTGGATCTCTTTGGGATTTTTCAATTCAACACAGGTTCTATAAGATAAAACCCCATTTCCCTTGTTTTGTTTTTATTTTTTTTCCTGTATAGAAAAGGAAGGCAGATCATCAACCTTAGTTTTTTCAACAGACACTTAAAAAGAGTTCTATAAACTGATCCACCTGCTCTAATTGCTGCACAGTTTTATGCCGTGTTGCATCATGGCAAAGTATGAGTTTATCTGACCCAACCATATTGAAGCAACTCCTTAGGGAGGAAAAAAGAAAGTGTGCTGGCAAGCTTAATTATGTATAGACTTTTCTTAAGTCAACATAAAACAGTCTTTTCCATCTCACCCTTTTCCAAATTGCTCCACACTGATGCGCATCTTTAATAAAATGAACACATGAGTACTTCTTGAATCCATTAAGGGTCTAAATTATAACTTTTAGCTACAGTGAATTATGCAAGGGAATGCAATATTAGTTAGAAAAAATTAAGCCCTTTTCTTTTTTGAAATTACCACTAGGGCTGAATGAGACCAAATATTACAGTTCTAGTTTTTAGCAAAAAAATTAATGGTACATCTTTATACTATATCTGGCATGACAGCAAATTTTTGAAAAGTTTAACACACCAAACTATGCTTGAAAGTGCTCAATTCTATCCCTGCTTTACAACAAATTCCTTGAAATAATAAATCTTAAAAACAGGGAAGAGAAAACAAGTAGGCAATTGCTTTTCTAAATACTGTTTTCTCTAGAGTTTCTTTCTTCCCTCAGTAGCAAACACAGCTGGAGAAGTGATGCTCCTAATGCTTTCCTAAATACCAAGGGTTTGTAATTAGAGTAGTTCAAATCTGTTTAACGAGGGAATTGTTTTCCACCAGCCCTCCCTCCTCCTCACCCAGAGGAATTCCTCTTACCTTGATCATTTAAAAATGAGCTGCTTTCAGCTATAATTTCCTTTTATTGCATACTTCCCCCTACCTTTCTTTCCTTGAAGCTCAAAACACTAACATAGAGACCTCAGCAGCTGAGATGCATTACACACTTTTCTAATACACAGCATCTGATATTAGCATTAGCTTTGCCAACAACACCCAGTGGAACACCACAAACTGCTTATAAACACAGCTAGACCTGCAGGGCAGGAATAAACGGAAAATAGTCCTCTATTTAAATGGCAGATTGAGGGACAACATAGAGCCGCATTCCTGTAGCAGCACTAACTCCCAACACAGGATAAATGGTTCCTTTGCACACAAAAGCTTATAGGGACAGATGGTCACCATCAGGTGAGAGCAAGAGGCCTTGAGGAAAACAAAAAAATCTATCGTGTGCTTGGCGCCACAGGTTTACACCCAGCTTAAACCAAGATAAACCCTTAGGAACTCCCTACCCCTAGGGTAACCTTACGCTCTCAGGCTGGTAGGGAGGACTCGGGCTGAGGTGACTGGCGAGGAGCCGAATCGCGCCTCAGCAAAGCCGCCCCGCAGCCCTGACGCGCAGCGCCCTCAGCGCCGCGGCTTTCAAGGGAACGGCGCGCGCCGCTCCCGCCCCGCCCGCCCGGCCCTGATTGGCTGCGGCGGGCAGGGCGGGGCGGGTCACGCGCCCGCGCGCTCCCGGGCAGCTGGTCCGGCCGCGCCGCGCTGCCAGCGGCCCCGCGCCACGGGGCTGCAGCGCTCCGCCGGGTCAGTGCGCGCCGCCGGCCGAGCGGGACTGCTGCAGGGGCGTGTGGTGGCGGCGGCGGGTGCGCGCTCCTGAGGAGGCCGGGTCGCGCTGCGGCGTCGGGAGAGCGCTGGCGGCGCGCTCTCTGAGGAAGGTACCGGGGGAATGGCGGGCGGGAGCGCTGGTGCTTGGCTCCCGGGAGAGGCGGGTAGGGCAGAGCTCCCCCGCCATGCGCAGGCGGCCACAAGGCACTCCCGCGCCCCTCACAGCCCCCATGCGCTGCCGCCGCGGCCGCCCTCCGGCCCCGCCGCTATCGAGGAACGGGCCCCGCCCCCGCCCTTCCCGCGCTCCCATTGGCCGCGGCGGGGCCGCGGGCGGTCACGTGGCCGGCGGGGGGCAGCTGGAACCGGTTGGGGCCGCACCGCCCCGGGCCCTCCCCGGCGGGCGGGGCGGGAACCCGCGAGCCCGGGCCGCGCCGTCCGCAGCCCCGCGCACAGCGAGCGACGGAGCCGGCGGGGCCCGCAGCGCGCTGCGCTCCAGCAGGTCTGTCGCGCCGCCGGCTGCGTGTCGCGGTGCCGGAGGGGCGGTCGGTGCGGCGGCGGAGCCAGCTCTGTTCGAGCCCCGTGCGGAGTGGGCGCTGAGGGAGCGGGGAGGAGCGCGCCGTTCGCGGACCACCGGCACGTCGCCGCAGGTTCCGCGAGAGGCGGGAGGAGCGGCGCCCGGGGGCGGCCGCGGCGCCGCCGGGCCCGGGGCGGGGGTGCCGTGCCGGGAGCGCTCCCGGCGCTGTCTCGGTGGGTGCTCGGACCGGGGAACGCGGGGCCTACGGCTGTGTGTGTTTGTGTCGCCGCCCGAGGCCCCGGCCCGGGGCGGTCCCGCGGCTGCCGCATTATGCAAGCGGCCGCGCCGGGGCGGGCCCGGGACGTGGCGCGCCGCCTCCCGGCGCGGCTCCCGCTGCGGGCCGGGCCGGGCCGGGCCGTGCGGGGCGGCGGGCAGCGCTCGGCCCGTGTCCGGCGGGGCGGCGGGCAGCGCTCGGCCCGTGTCCGGCGGGGCGGCGGGCAGCGCTCGGTCCGTGTCCCGCGGGGCGGCGGGCAGCGCTCGGTCCGTGTCCG